TTTATATAATATGTTTTATTTTGTTATTTTTTTTTAAGAAAATCATATGAAATGTATTATATATAAAAATAAGAGAATAAAGATATATGATCATAATACTATAATAATAATATAATAATATAATAACTATAATACTTAAATAAAAAAAATAGTAGAGATTGACCACACCAAAAGTTCAAAACACTTTCTGCCTATTTGAAAAAAAGAAATCAATTATATAGTTTATATAGATGTTGCTGTATCTCAGTCTTTCTACTTCTATACTCCATTACACCTTTTTTCTCACTCACGTAACAAAACGTTGTAACATGTTAATTGCAAAAAAATGTCTCATTGGACTCACGCCAACGAGTTTCCCTTAGAACCAATACGAATTAATATCTAATCTAAAAGAGAAAATCTTGCAAATTACAACTAGAGTGTAACGTTGACAAATGGTATTCGCTAATGTCAGTGTGAATAACCTGATCTCTAAATTTACTTTTAGTTAGAATTCCATTAATAATAATTTAATTTATCGTTGAAAAACTGTGTATTAAATCACTGTCTAGATTGTGGTTTATATTAAGGACTGAGTAGGTGTTCAATTCCATAGATCGCGTCAACTTTTGCTTTGCAATGAATTTGATATGTCTTTTTAGTTATAAAATGAATGTTTGACTTTGGCTAATGAACACCAAATATGTTATATGGCTATGTTTGCTAATCTAGTCATATAACATTATTTTAGTTAAAAAATGTAATTCATTTGTTTCAAAGTTATTAATACTTTTTAAACAAAGTAATTAAATTGAATAATAACGTTTTGTAAGTCGAGCTTGCCATCACCTATACGAGTAAATATTTCGATTTCCTACTTCATACTTCATGATAATAATCAACATAAACTAAGTATCTAACTCACTAAAGTTAAAATTACAAATCCGCCAAAGAGACTCCAAAGTATCCTTTCAGGCAACGCTCGAACGCAAACTTTACGTTTCATAAGATCAGAAGTTAGGAATTAGTAATTAGAAATTATGGTTATTGCACGAAGTTCGATCGCTCAATTTTCCAGTAACTTACTGTATATCAAAACGGCAGATTCAATATAGAATACCTTTTAAATGTTGCGATACAAATCCAGATCATTTTCAAATTAGTTGATCGTCTTGTCACAAATGGGTATCTAAAAATAAATAAGAGATTTTCGCATATGGTGGTCAATTATTTTCAGATAAATCTTTGATTTTTTCAGTTAATCTATACATATAATAAAATTGGAGTGTCTATTCCAGATTCCAGATTTCGGGAAGATGATTTATTTGCGTTGCTAAAAACGAGAATCGCATTCAAATTTTTTCGTCTGTCTGTCTGTCCGCAAGCTACGTTTGTTTCGGGTAATCTCTAAAACTGTTGGCTTGATTTCGACAGGACTTCCACTGGAGGGTAGCTGACATAGATAGATATATTACAGGTTACTTCTTTTAATTCCGCGCTATCAAAATGGCGTAACGGGTGGTCCAAATTTGCGCTAACGAAGTTCCATAAAAATCCTATATCAAAGTCACCATACGGTAGTTACACAACTTCTTTAAGGTCTTACGTAATTGCATTACAGTCTTTCTCTCATCCAATTTGGTCTCACGAATTCATGCTACATCGTGCAATTGTAATTATTTGCTTGTCTATTTTGAATAATCTGCCAGCAAGTTACCAATCAAGGGACGTACCGTTGCACGAATAGAAAGCATGCATTATTTAATACTATCCGGAGCAGCCGGTGGAGCTTAAGAACATGAATATTTCATCAATCGGATTTAAGACGTAGTAACAACTGCCCCTACTCCAGTATACTTTTGGTAAGAGGCGATTCGCTTTTTCACTTCTTTTATTTGAGATTTCACGAGATCGGTACGTACTGTGGGCCTATCACGAATATTTCCGACAAAGATTTCGTAACGTCATCGACAAAATTTGTAACAGATTTTAGCAGCGTATCTCTGTCGATATAATACTACGAAAATTTTCTTGCAATTTTGATGATAAATCTCAGCTATATTTGTGTTGAGTAACAGTAAGTGATAAATTTTTTGATCAAATGCCTATTTTTAATTATTTGAAAATACTAGTACTAGTACTTGTAGAGTACTATTATTCTGCTTTGTTTTACGCTTGCACAAATTTAACGAAAAGTTTGAATGTTTACCTGAAGCATTGAGTATACAGTTCCAGTGAGTATAGACAGCATTTATAATTGTGACGCTAGTGTTATTAGATAACCTCGATGTCATATTACAGAATAAATATTGCTAAATGATCTAACAAAAATACTAACCCAATATAGACGGCTACAATTTACAAATATTATTCATCGTACAATTCAGGGATGAAATGTTGCCAGTTGCCAACGTTCGTGAGAAATGGTTGCCCGATTCCCGGTCTGATCTTATCGTGAAGACGTTATACTGGATTCAAGGAGCGAAGACGAGCAACGCCTCAATGATTGCCTCAGTACTTACGAATGCATAATGTATTCTAACTATTTCGCAGCTGGTTCATCTAAATAGAATACATCCCGTACGTTCACCACCAAAATACTATATTCTGTTCACGATATATATACATTTCTTAATCTTTATTAGGGGATTTTTATCTTTAAAAAGATGCCAATCCCATAATGCTACTCTTAGTAATTATCAAACGAGATGGCATTATCGTCCAGCTGTGCCCACCCAGTATTGAAATTTTAGTTTTTAATTTTAGGATATCGCGTAGCATTAATAGTTGGTACATGTATGATATTCCTTTGCTAAATGATTGTTGGATGTTTTAGATATAGCCTAAACTGCTAGACAGATCTTGATAATATTTGACATAGACATAGAAGATTGTCTGGAAGAACACATAGGTGACTTTCTTTTGTTTTTTTGAATCCATGAGCAAGAGAGAGCGAAAGCTAATCTCAAATATTCCAAAAAAAGACACGGTGTGAATAATTAATTTTAAAAGAAAGGATTGATTGTTTACGAGCGTTCAAGGCGTTATAATAATATCGGAGCAATTATGATTTTAATATATTGAAAGAGCTTCCGAAATCTATAGAAAACAATTTGCTCGTACATAAATCATAGTTTTCAAGTCCAGTGGTTAAGTGGGCGTAGAGTTTATATGATCATAAATTATTTATGGCTATTAGTTCACAACTTTGTACACAAATGGCTCGTATTTGTGTAAAGTTTCTAACTGTTAATAAATAAACTTTTTATTAGGGTTCTTAATTAAAGTTTAGCTAGCTTATCTTCTGAAAACGAATATTATTGCCTTAGACATGTCTATGGTAATTGAGGTTATAAAAAATATATAACTTACCAGTATTAAAATGCAGTCATTGACAACCACCAGCCTCTTTACCTACAACAAAAATTATATTTTGAATCTCATGACTGAATTAAAGACATACTGTATAACAAGGTTTGAATTAACAGTGGTAGTGCCCGCTTTAACATCTTAGCACGAATGGGCCGGCACGCCCGGTGTGACCAAGACCACACAGAAGACAGGCGTGAAATGGAAGCAATTCTGTGTTTTGCCTGAAGAGTGCGGTGCCGGAGGCCTAGTTTAAGTCCCTTTCTCTTTACAGCTCTTTTCTTATAAAGAGATGATGGGGAGGGGAAGTAGATTTGACGCTGGAGGAGATGCATAGGAAGGGGAAATATCCTCTTTATGTGCGTCTTCTCCGTCGGATAAGGGTAGGCAACGCATCTGTAATTGCGAATGTCAATGGGCAGCCGTCGCTTCGCTATTTTGGCGGATTCAGGTGGCCGCTTGCTCGTTTGCCACCTTATGATATAAAAAAAAACTTTGACTTTTCAAATCTAAATGACATTTCGAAAGAAAATCATACTGTATTCAAAATTTAATCAAATTATAGACGCCATGATATTTCATAAACTTTGTTAAGAACTCATTAAAACTTGTATGGGTACAGCTCAGATCTTTGGCAACAACGACATGCAGTTAGGCCATTTTAGTTTTAATCAAAAATATTTAGTTAGCCGTTTGGAAACATTCAGATCACGTTCATTAGATCTATATTATATCTTTTAATTTTGTGACGTTTTTATATGAATTTACAACAAAACTAGCTTTCGCCCGCTTTTTTAAGGAGACTCCAACGGGCCACTATTATGTAACGATAAGATCTGTCAGGGTGTTCTGTAAAAGAAGAAGTTTCTCAATGGAGAAAACATTCTAAAATTCCAATCTTTCCTCTCATTTCTTAAAGTTTTAAAGACTGATTGCAGATAAAATTTAGAAAAAAAAAAAGCTTTCGCCCGCAACTCCGTTCGCGTGGAATTAAAAAAAAACAAAGTGAGTAGCTTATATGTTCTTCCAGATTAACCTCTACTGTACCTAATTTCATTGAAATCCGTTAAGCCGTTAAGCCCCAAACTCGAACAAACATCCATCCATCTAAACTTTCGCATTTATAATATTAGTATGATTTCTATTATTTATAGTACTAACAAGCATTATGGAGATGTCAAGGAAACAGAATATTTTGAAATACAAGTAAAGTAATAGTTAAAAAGAAACAAATAAAGTTTCTCAATTTTTTTGTTACTGCTAACATTTTGCATAAAAAATACGAAACAACGCATAAAGTTATAATTATTAGAGAAAAACAATGTTCCATTAATTGGGCAAAAACTATAAACAGTTCGAAATCAATTAAATTCAAAACTACAGTGATAGTTTGGAAGTGTCTCCGCAGACGTAAGCTGTGTTGCGAGCTACGTGAGAATTTCATTAAAACTTACGTAGAACAATAATGAGGCAAACGTGCAACTTTCCTTCTATTACAGTACCAATTGTATATCTTCAAATGCACTAAAGATACGATTGGAAATCCATATTATATGCAAATGTAACTTTAAGAATTTCGCCTTTGGTAAGACACTATTATGTGTTTAAAGCTATTTTACACAAAAACTTTTTTATTATAATATATAACTATAAAACATAAGCTATCCACCACATTGGTTTAACTCACAATTTTAAATAACTAAAAAAAATTAAAAACAACCTGTGCACGTTGTTGACGTTAATGTATTTACATTTACATAATTCACAATCAATTCATATTATTTACAGTCAAATACTAAAACAATTTTTAAATACGTTGTATTTTTGAATATACTGGAATAATTTAAAGACATCTAGACCGATTTTAAAACCACCATTAAAAAGGTAATTTTGTAATTTCACACGGACGAATTCGCGGGCAAACTTGTAATTGATAACGGCCATACCATCACTGGCTCATAGGGGCTCAGATAGCTTAAAACGTCACTGTCAAATAAAAGAAAATCCGATATTTATGTCACATATTTTACACGTTATATTGTTATCAGACAATTTACAATTTGGTTGGACAGACTATTAAACTTCAAATATTGTAAGAAGTCAGATTGTGAGCGACGTTTACAAAGAGAAGTGTTTAAGATTAGTTTCAAAACACCACCCTTAGTTTACACTTGTATCTCAAAGCAATAATCAACTCAGTCCGTTTGATTTCGTATGAAAATCTGCCCATTAAACATCAAAGACAACTCAAGACCACTAAAGCTATTCATATACAAAGCTTAGTATTCGGTCAGACGGATATGAATACTGGTAAGGAATTACGATTAAAGTGACGTTTGTCTATGGATTGGAATTAACTATAGAAAAGGTAGCGTCAGGTTGATTACAAGAGGCTTTACTTGTACTGTTACTTGTATATGGATTCTATATAAATGATGTTTGACTTTAATGTTCAATCTTCATATAAAATAATTTTCTGACGTAAATAAAAAAGATTTTTACATGCCACTTATCTTCGTAAATGTAACGAAATTGAAGCCAATTTATATTAAGATATGACTTTTTGCTGGTATTAGATATCTCATATGCTTACTGAAACAGAAAAGTAGACACTCATATGGGATGGTGCCAAGACCTCGATGGCTCCTACGTAAACTGTCGTACGTTTGAAATACAAATTTTATACGACAAAACTTTAAACATTAATACGACGCTAACATGAAAATTACGATTGACAACCAAACTTACATTTCTTTATCTATCAAACTTTTTATTTAATTTACATAGAAATTAGTATATACAAAGTGAATTAATACAACATAAACAAATATGAATCGCAAAATTGTGACTTACGGTAGTCTACGTAGGAGCCATCGATATGCGGTAATATCGAAGAGGCATAGAGACATGCTTCCAAAGTAACCGGGCGATGAAATATTACTCAATCAGCGTAATCTAGACAGTGGGAACAGTTTGTCGGTCCGGAATCTGACCAGTGATAGATTGAGCTTGGAAACAAAAATACTATTTTAACATGAATTTCGAGGGAAGTAATCTTTCAGCAACCTCTAGACTGAAATCAGAATGTCAGCCATTTGCCAATTAGTATGTACTAGCTTTCGCCCATCCATCCATCCATCCATCCATCCAAATTTTTTCATCTATAGTATTAATAAGAATTAAAATGAATTACGTTGTTAACACATACCTTAAGTAGTCTCTTAGTGTAGACTTAGTTATTAATCCACACTAATGGTCTGCTTACGAAAAATAAATCTGCGTATTGTTTTAGGTAAATCTTATCTAAAAATATTTTTTAAAAACGTGAAATACATTTATTAAAAATATTTTCTGGTGCTAAAATGTATAATTAGAAAAATACAATTATAACTCCAACCGAGGTCCATTAAATTAACGATTCGAATTGAAATATATTTTTAAACAAGTGCACCGCAGTCAGCTTTATGGCCAGAAATAAACGAGCCGCTTCCTCCAACGAGCTTTTTATGTTTTAAAGAGGTTATTTACTGTTTATATAATAAAAATATGAACAAACCATTATAATTAACATAGTGCAATAGTTAATAATCATGATTACAATCTAACAATTTATTCTTTGTTCTACATTTAATTCGTAACGTAATCATATCATGTAAATCATATATCATATCATATAAATATTATAAATGCGAAAGTTACGATGGATGGATGGATGTTTGGTAGCGTTTGTAGCCTAAACGGCTGAACGGATCACCATGAAATTTGGCATAGGTTTAGAGCATAGTCTGGAAAAACAAGGCTACTTTTTAACCCGGGAATAGTAGCGGTTCCCGTGGGATTTACTATTTTAGTTTTTTAATATTTTCTCGATCATTCTGCAACGGTTCAACATATCTTATTGAAATTTGACACAGATATAAAACAAAGTCTGGAGTACACATGGGATAAGGTTCATCCCCAAGAAATGTCCGGTTTCCGAGGGATACGTAGCTTTTTGTTATTTATGTAGTTTGTATGTTTTTTAATACCACGCAGACGAAGTCGCGAGCAACAGCTAGTTTGTTTTATAAATGTGACCTTTTGCGTAGAACATTTCATTATAGTATATGTTTTAGCTACTTCAATAGAATACTTTACACTACATTTAAATGTAATTAAATTAAAATACTCTGTAATAATAAAGATAACATCATAACGCTCCACGAAAGTAGAAAATACACGTAAAGAATTTAATAAGAGATTTATAATTAAAACATAATGAAAAACCTGAAATAAAACTATTCGAATAAAATTTAGCTTGTACAGAATTCTGAAAACATTTCTCTGAAAAATATTATTTTAAACGAGCAGTATTTTGAATTCGCCGAAAGTAAAAGAAGTAAAAGCTTTCATTTCGCCAGCAGTTAAACCGAATAGAAAAAAACTCGAAAAAGTGTAAAAACGACGTAATTAAAAAAGGCGAAACACATTTTGTGAAGTAAAGGGCTTTTACAACGTCGAAACGAATTTCCTTTGGCGCTAACTTCGAAGTGCTTTTATTTAAATGCCTTGTTATATTAAACGTTAGAAACACTTTATAAATGAACCAAAGTTAAGGACTATCCCACCGAATTAAAAATTATCTGATAACAATCGAACGTGTAAAATATGTGATGGAAATATCGGATTTTGTTACCTTATGGCTGTGACGTAATTTTTAGGCTATCTGAGCATTTATCAGCCGATGGTGGGACAGGCCCTTAGTCTCTTAGATAAGACAACTAGTGGACATGACAAATGACACCAATAGATGTTATGGTCACACAACATAACCTCAAACCGTATCATCTAGTGACTTGTAACCTAAACCTTGAAAAACATTTAAGGTATTCTTCAAATCATATTCTTGAAACATCTTAGGCGTCCAGTAGGGAGGCCAAATTATTTATTAGGACATGACTTTGTTATTTTGTCCATATTAAAAATGTTCGATTATACAAAATTTATCACAAAAAATTATACAAAATGCACAGGTCCCTAGATCATTCCAATTATTTTTTTTTTTA